AATGGATTTAACGTTAAGTCGACTCAATAATTCGTCAATATCATTTTGTCTACTATCTTCATTGTTAATTGATTTAAATCTAATTTCTCCTGCTTTTGAGTGAGAGTTTTGAAGTTTCTTGCCAGTATCTTAAGAGGGTGTGGATGTGAGTGAAGATAAGATAAAATACATCCACACTCACTCCTGAAACCGAATTCTGGTACATTGTCAGTTCGAAAAATTTCGATAAATTTCTAACTGGAATCGATCAAAATGTGTTAAAAATAGAATAGAACCTGCGCCAGTGAAACAGTCGCCGGAAAGCAATGGCAAGGAACACGCCGAAGCATAAAAGAAACTGACCGATTCTAGCTAGGTATACAGTAATGTAAGTAGTCATAGCTAAGTTGTGATAATAAGAACATATGATCGTCAAGAAGGCTAAGAAAAGAGTTGCTATAATAGCAACAAGTATTTTTGTTTTTATTGTTCAAAGAAGTGTATCGATCAATGATATTTGCTGTTTGGTTTGTATAATACTTGGATGATCTTCTGGTAACGATTTTAAGTCATATAATAATGAGTTTTCATAGTTTTCTTTGGCCAATTTATATTCACCATTTAATTGATACAATGCTCCAATGTTACTGAATATCGTTGCAATTTCAGACGTATTTGATAATGGATTTTGTAAATAAATGCCTAACGCGTGCTTAAAACTTTCACATGCATCAATAAAATTTTGAGCTTTCAAATATATTGCTCCAATATTATTATATAAAAAACCAAATTTCAAATGATTAGGTGGAAGATGTTGCAATTTAATGTTTAAAGCTCGTTGTAAATAAGCTAATGCACTTGTATAATCACTTTTTTCACTATAAACTGTTGCTATATTTATATATGTCATTGAAAGTGATAAATCATTTGAATCGGATGATTTCAATTTTAGATCAAGTGACTGTTGAAAATTTTCCATCGCTAATATAAAATTATTTTCGTCCAAATATGTTAAACCAATATTGTTATAAATAGTTGCCAAGTCCGAATTATTAAGAGGTGATTGCTGTTTTTCCATTTGCAACGCCTTCTCATTATATTTCAATGATTCAATATAATTCCACTGTTTTCGATATATTTCAGCCATATTTATGTATGTTTTAGCAATTGATGAGTGGTTAGGATTCAATATTTTTTCTTTGATGTCAAGTGCCGACTTAAAGCAATCTAAAGCTGTGTCGTATTGTCCATTGTCACAAAATACTGTTCCAACGTTATGATATGATTGTGCAAGATCAATATGATCAAGCGAAGGATACAATGTCATTCGAATATCAAGCGCTTTTTTATGATTAATTAATGCTTCCGTATAATTACCAATTTTACGATAAATTTCTCCGAGATTATTGTAAATAACAGCATGATTTGTTAAGTTTGAAGAGTCAATTTTATCAAGTGCAAGTTTATAGTATTTGATTGCAAGTTCATAGTGACATTCATTCATATAAATATTGGCAATATTATTATAAATAGTATTTAAGAGTTGATGCGGTGGCAACATTTGATTTAATATAATTTCAAGTGCTTTCTCATAATTTTCTTTAGCTTTTATTGAATTTCCACTATCAATATATATGTTAGCCATAGCATTATATGTTGTTGCAAGATCTATATGATCTTTTGGTAATACCAACAGATGAATATCAAGTGCTTGCTGACAATATTTCAATGCCATTTCATAATCACCATTTGCTCTATATAGGTCACTCAGATTACTGTAGGTTATTCCAAGTGATGGATGATTTGAAGGCAAATATTTTAGTTTAATATTAATTGACTTTTCAAAGTTTTCAGTTGAACGATTATACTGACCATTTTGATTATAACAAACAGCTATATTATTATAGATTTGTGCGAGACCAGGCTCATCTTGAATAATCGAAGAATAGAGCAATCGTAGTTCAAGTGCTGTATTATACATCTTAAAAGCTTTCTGATAGTCACCCAATTCGATAAGAACATTTCCAATATTACTATAGATTGCTGTATTTGAAATTGGATTCATTGGTTCCAATGATAAATAAATATCAAAAGCATGCTGATAATTTTTTAAGGCTAATTCAAAATTTCCTCTGGCATTATATACTAAAGCAAGATCATTAAAAAGCATTGCAATCATTTCATTATGATGATAAGTATTATCGAACAGTAATTTTGATGACAATATTTGATCAAGAAAAAGGCGATAATATTTTTCTGCTTTATCTAAATCACCCATTAAATATAAAAATTTTCCCAATGTCATTAAATGATGTTCAGTTTGGTTAATTTCCTTTTTAAAATGATTAATCAAATCACTTGAATTTTTATCTTCTTCTTCATTCAATATTAGTTTTACAAACCATATTTCATCAGTTAATAATTCGATACTATCAATACGAAATATTGTACCCATTGAAAACAATACTTCGTTTTCATCAGTATTATATGAATAATGGTGAATATGAGCAAATGGTTTTGTTAGTCGTTTTTTGATTTACATTTATTTCAAATACAACTGATTCGAATTGAGGACGACCCATGCCATTACCAGAAAAATCAGTAGCAACATTACAAGATAAAGTTGTTGAAAAAAATGTGTTAACCGATATAAGTCCATTTATGTTGTCTTGCAGTTTCTGTAACTCTTCTCGTGCTATCATTTGTCCACGATACATAATTGAAACACTAGTATTCATTTCGTTATTTGCTGCTAGATTTTCTAATTGTTGATAAAGATCTTTAATAAAAAAACGAAACTTAAATATATTGTTTATATTTTGAGTGCGCAATGCTCTATTTAATAAACGATACAAAAACGTATCACGTGTGTACCAATGAATACAAGTATCAGACGAATATGTTTGTTGAAATTCAATAATTTTCTTTTTTTCTATTTCGTCATTTTCATAATTGAGGAAACATTCATTCATCATTTCATTTTTTGAATCTATTGTTTGCGGCATTTGTAAGAGAATTTCTAATAATAATTGAAACCACATGAATGTTGCTTGTTCATTTGTTAAATCTCTAATAGATGTTTCTTTAATCGTCTGAGGATTAATAATACTGATAGGTAATAATGGAAAAATATTATCGTTAAATAATTTTACTATCAATTGATTTATATTATCATAGATGTCGACAATTTTCGATGATAATTGCTTTATCAACTCACATTTGTCTTTCGAATTATTAGTATTATGAATATATATCATCTGAATATGTGATAATTCGTAAATTGATGGTACAATCAATTCAACAAGATTGCTTGAGATGATCAATGCAATATTTGAGTTCATGTTGATATAGTGTAGACAATCATCCGCATTGTCGAAGAGTTTTATATAAGGTTTAAGAGGTTTTAGTTTGATTTTTATCTCAGAATCATTGTTAATATTTGTATCGAGCCATACAACAGTTATCTCATTATCCATCTAGAAAAAGAATTTATTTGTATATGTTTTTATTCAAAGAAATAAATGTAGCATATTTTAAATACATTATACTATTACATTTTTTTGTGTTTCTTTGTCTTGAAGTAATATAAGAGTGCTACGATGATAAAAAAGAAGAAAAAAAAACAGTTCCTTTTTTGTAAAAGAGCGCAAAAAAAAACTATTATGGTGACATTTTTACACTGGATGATCTCAAGTAACGATTCTTTGCTAAATCCAATGTCTACTAATATATGGACCAATGAGGTATTCAATTAAATAGTTTATCGTCAATAGCTTGGCTACAGTTTAACGCGGTAACTGGGCAAAATTAATTAAATGTAGCTGTCTAGCATCAAACCATTTAAAAACTAATGAAAAACAGATACAGGAAGCGATCTAAACCGTTAGTATTTTATCTGTTGATAACGACACACAAAACTGATCGTTTTCTACAAGTAAAATATTAATTGTCTGGATCGTGTTTTTTTCTTCTGTCTGTTCTTCTCATTTCTCGCCCATTTCAATTTCGACCAGCATAGATTTCTGTCCTTTGCTTTCAAGATGTCCTACTTAGATTTCTATTGACTCAATCTTTGCTCTTATGATCGATAGATAAGTAGTTAAGATTGAGAAAAAATCTACTTATGTCCATGAAAGTAAAGTGCTTCAAACGAAAGCTAGAACTTTAGATTTGTGTGCTTGGGTATGAGGTGTGGGTGAAGTGAATACTCACACTCGTCAAGATTAGATATGGTTGTACTCACACTGAGAGCATACTTTGCAGTTCTATTTGAACAGCTCTTCCCAATCGATAACGCGACAGTTGAAATCAGCTTTTACAAGCACTGCTCAATTCCATTTCGTGTCGACAGGCATTCAGAGTGTGGCAATCTAATGTTCACAATATTTTCTTTCTAGGCAATACTTTTTATGAGTACTCTTTCTTGATACTCTGCACAACAACATCTCAAAA